AGGCTACATTGTTTTTTTCAAATTTGAGGCTAAAATAGCTTGCAAGCCTGATGCCAAACACCACCATAGATTTAAATACTCATAGAATTCCCTCATGCATGTAACAATAGGAGAGAGAAAGACACATAGAGACAGAGACAAAGACAGAGACAGAAACAGAGAGAGATTGTGCGTGAGAGAGCTCGAGAGAGAGAAAGACGCCTGCAATATGTGTACAAATCATTATATACACACACACATATATTAAACATCATCTTTTAAAATTTTAATAAATTAAAGGCACATACATTCAAATTTGAATAAACCCTAAACCAACAAAGTCAGAAGAGGGGGAAGTAGAGTACAGAAGAGAGAGAGAGACTGTGTAAGAGAGCTCAAGTGACAGAGAGAGAGACGCATGGACAAACTGTGAGCGAGAGCGATAGCGCGAGAGACACACAGAGAGAGAGAGAGAGAGAGGTACCTGCGATGTGCGGCTATGCCGGTGGTGAGTTGTGACAGTGGTGATTTGTGCGGGGGGCGGTGGCCGTCGTAATGTCAACCGTACGGTGAGCTACGGTGAGAGGGATGGTTTTGTGAGGTTTGGTGAAGGACGGTGTATGTGTGTGTGTGTTACAAAGTGTGATGTCGTATAACAGAGAGAGAAGCGCGCGCGGAAGGGTTGAAAATTGAATATTTAGCGACTAATTTCTGTATTAGTCGGCAAAGGAATAGATCTGCTGTAACAACCCAGATTTTTTATTATTCTGTAAAATTTATACTAATATTATTTAATCACAGTTAGGGAAAATATATCATTTTTTATATATTATTATGGGTAATTTTGTAAAATAATATAATTATTAAAAATTTAAGGGTCAAAATATAAATAAATAATTAAGTTTAAATAAGCTTCAATTAATTTAGATAAGTTCAAATTAATGGAGATTAATAAGAAAGTGACACGTGGTAGTTGGCTTGGGGCTCACGAATTGAATTTGTATAAATAGGGAGAAGCTGACTCCGTAAGGGAGAAAGAAAGAAAGGAAAAATAAGAGAGAAAGTAGAGAAAAGAGAGAAAAGAGAGGAAAAAATAATGGAAGCTGAAAGGGTTTTTGGTAGTGGAAAGAAAGAGTGAGGTATTAAAGTTAAGGTGAGTTATATTATACTTTGAGTTACCAAAATGTATTTTACGTATGTTTTGACTTACCAAAATCTATTTTATACAAGTTATGTTTTATTAGTATATTAATAAAAGTTATATTTTATAAAGGTTTCAGTTACGTGGATTATTTTCTGAACCTTAATTGCTTAAAGTGAAATCCATGGATATGTTTGTTTTACTTTTAAAGAATATTTGACTATGACCTTATATACAATTATGTTTTGTAAGTACCACCACGAGCGTCCCACGCCTTGGGGGACTTAAATAACCATTGGCCCCTGTTTGACCACTTTGTGGTCCCGTGTTTGTCATGAATCCATTGACCCTTATAGTGATTGTCACTTAGTGACCCCTGTTCTGTTCCATTATGTACCGTGGTTATAGTTGTTTACGTAATTTATGTAGTATATGTCAAATGATTTCTGTATGATATATATTATGTATTTTAATATCAAACTCTTTTTAGCCAATAATTATCCATGGTGAATTTTATGCCCTTATACTCTCAGTATAATATTTCTCACTCTGCCATGTGCTTATAGCTGTTTACCAATTTTCAGGAAACATGCAATTCAGAAATAGCTTTTAGAAAGTCCTAGACGGGGGGCTGCAGAATAGACACACATAGAACTTTTGATGATATTTTTTATATGTAAATATCGGCCTTTTGGTCAATATAATTTTGTAATAAAAATAGGAGGTCCAATGATTATTTTAGTACCCTTATTTAAATATTTTTCCACTCGCGTTTATTTATTTGTTAAAGATTTGGCCGGAGGTAACCTCAGTTACTGGCCATCACGATGCTTAACCCTTGGGTACGGGGAGCGGGTCGTGACATCTGCCGACTAAATTTTTTTGTAGGCAAAAGATTAATGAATAGAGACGAAAATATTAGTCGCCAAAAGTACTATTTGGCGACTAATTTTAATTTTAGTCGGGAAAAACAAATATTACAGATTAATTTATTTTTTTGGCCTAAAATTTGGACTAACAGTGACCAATCAAATTTTTAGTCGCTGAAAGTGGAATTTTTACCGACTAAATTTAAATTTAGTCGCCAATAAGTAATATTTACTGACTAAAATATTTTAGTAGCGATATCTTGAACCAACGCCGACAAATTTAAATTTTAGTCGCCAAAAAGTGTACTTTCGGTGACTAAAATTTGTTTAGTCGTTAAAAATGATCGCCAAATTGTGTGATTCCTTGTAGTGTAAATAAACTTTGAAATGGAAACTTCTTGTAGAATCATTTAGCTTTTCTTAGAATATATATATATATATATATCTATGCAAGAAATGTCCAAATGCACCACGAAAATATTGAAATTGTTGCACCAAACATCTTACCTTTCTTTTTCTTTTTGTCCTTTATTAATTATTTTTATTTTTATTTTTATTTTGCTTGTTTTAATAAAGTTATTTATCTCGGAAACATGACCATGCTGCCACTAAACCTTAAAATATGCCATTTTTATTTCAATATGTCCCATTTAGTTTATTTTCTTTCTTTCTTTATTTTTTTAACAAGGTTATTCCTTTTGTAGTATATATCACAATCAAACTTGTCAGTCAACTATCTCATTAAAGTTAATATGGTCGGTTGAATTGCCATAATATTGCACCAAAAGGCTGGAATTTGAACCACATCCGTGCCAATTTTGCCTAAATAATATTTGTATCGCTCTATTTTCAGTAAATCTCAACAAAGATAAGTAACTAAAAAAATAAAACATATATCTTGATGAAGATGAATTAAGGGTTTTCTTCTTCTTCTTCTTTTTTTTTCCCCCCCTGTTAAATGTCAGAATTTCCAATATTGCAAGTTGCCCCTAATCTTGAACTCTTTCATCATATTTGTGCATGATGGGTTTCTCCTTTTATTTCAATGATTTGAAAATTTAACCAAAATAAGCAGTCTGATATTGAGAACATATAGAAAGCAGCTTTGGTAAATAACTGAAAATATAAAAAGGAAATCAGATTTAGTCATCAGTATCCCAAATATTATTTATATATTAAAAATAAAAGGTTAAAATACAAATTTACCCTTGAAGTTTATGAAAAATACAATTAAAACTTGCGAAAATTCTGAAAATTACTTCTTACTCCTTAAGTTTCAAATTAATCGCATTACAATTTCTCTCACTCATCACCTCCAGTTAAAGTAACAGATTTTGATAATGTTAACATTAAAAGTTTTCAAAATACCGATTTTAACCTTAATAATCCAAACCAAATTCCTCACTCTCATAACTCACTCAAACTTGGTCGCAACCCCAAAAATAAGAAATACTGTGAAGCAATAAATAGAGAACGATGAGAGACAGGGGAACAAAGCTCCAGCCCTCTATTTGTTTTGACATAAATATTTTTAGAAAATATTTTTTTGCATTTTTTGGTGTTTGGTACGACAAAAAACAAACATATTTTGGCAGAATATAACTTTCATTTTTAAAAGGTGAACTAAACTTTTTTCAATGCCACTACATTGCCATCACCACCATTACATCCACCACCACACAACCACTACCATTGCCGTCACCACACCATCACCTCCATCCTATCACTATCACCACCACTACTACTGTCACCGCCACCATCACCACTCCCAACACCTCCACATCTACCACCACCTTCTCCTCCACTCCGTCGCTACCACTAATGTAACTATTAGTGCATTAGTTTCGAAAATGTAACCAAACATAAAAAACTTTTTCTACGGGAAACATTTTCTGAAAAAAAAAATTCTGTAGAAAATATTTTTGATTGAAAAATGTTTTCCGTCAAAATTAAAGGAGCATAAAATAAAAGATTTGTTTTTAGAATTTTGTTTTTAACTTTTAGGTAATACTAGATTAGCACATCCGAAAAATAGAAGAAAACTTTTATAGGAGAAAATTTGAAAAAAGTGTACTATCCTTGATGAACTTATTTTGAATTTTTTTTACTTTTTAAATCTTTTTAAGGTGATTTGGAAATTAATTTTATTAATGATTTTTTTTTACTTTTTAAAAAAGACATACCAAAAAAAAATAAAGAGAATAATTTGACAAATTTATAGGGCATGTTTGGTTTTGTCTCTCAAAACATGTTTTTGGAGGAAAAAAATTTCAAAAACATGTTTGTATTACTTTTCTCTCTACTACACATCAATCAATCAATTTTTCTCTCTCATCTCTCATTCTCAATCACTTTTTCTCTCACACTTATCTATTCAATTACAAAAAAAATTATGGTAGCGTTTGGTAGAGTTTTGTAAATGTGATTTGAGATGTTTGGTTTTGTCTCTCAAAACATGTTTTTGGAGGAAAAAAATTTCAAAAACATGTTTGTATTACTTTTCTCTCTACTACACATCAATCAATCACTTTTTCTCTCTCATCTCTCATTCTCAATCACTTTTTCTCTCACACTTATCTATTCAATTACAAAAAAAATTATCAAATTATCCTAAATTCCAAAACTATTTTTAAAATATACAATCAAACAAATTTTTTTAATTTTTTAAACTCTCTCCAAAAAATTATTTTTTTAAATAATATTTCAAAATACAAACCAAACAGAGTCATGATGACTACTTTTTTTTTTTACTAAAATCTCACTTTCCCAAACAAAGCTTAAAAATGTATGAAAACAAAAAACAATGGCATAAATTTAATTTATTTAACTAAAGACAAAAAAAAATTCCAAAAACAAAATATGATCTTATTTGACTTGGGGCCAATTTTAAAAACATGGTAAAAGTTATTTTTGACTTTTAACTTATTTTATAGCGTATCATCTTTTCATTTTGTTACATAATTTTTTATAAAAAATCAAAAAAACCCAATTTTTAACGAACTTTCTTTAAAATAAAACCTTTGTCAACCAGATCAATCCAAGAAAAAAGAAAGGGAAAAGAAATCCCATAATAATGGTTACAACTACAACTATTTTTCATTCCATATGCACAGCACACTATGAATCAAAACCCAAACCCACGCGCGATTTAAGTACATGCGCTAAAGAACACCATAAAATACTACACCTGGCGAGCGTTGATGGCGAGTTTGTATAACTTGTTTTTCAAGCGCGTGAATATTTATTGAAACCTCGTAGCGCTCGAAACGGCCCAAAGCTCAAAACCCAGGCCCAGCCCAAGTACAACCCAAGCCTCACACCGCATCTAATCCGTCGGCAGCAATCTTCTAGTGTGGAGAATTGGACGGCTGAGATCTGTAGACCCTACCACTTTGAATTCAAAAACAGCACCAAGTTACTAACGTCACAATTTCGTAGCCTCAGCTTCGGCTCCGAACCTAAAGCTACACAATCAAATCATATAAAAAAAAATAAAAAATTGCCAAAACCAATAAAAAACATATCTAACTTGATTGTTTTGTATCAACTGAAAAAGAATCGACTCATATAGCAAGTACATCAACACTTTGAGATTCACACAATCTCTCTCTCTCTCTCCTCTAAAACCAGTAAAGATTTGCAGGAAAGAGAAGTGTGTTCTTGAATAATGTTTCCCTCTCTAAATCTATACCATATATATGTGTGTAATGTGTATAAATTAATGCATTGACGTGTTTGTATATGTTAGGGTTTCTAATAATTCAAGAACATAACTTGAAGCGGGAGGCATTAATGGAGGATACAATAAGAAGCGGGAGGCATGACTTGAATTTGGCTTCAAGAAAAGCCGAAGAAGTAGGTTCTCATTCGACTTTTTTCTTTTCTCTTACTGTTTGGTTGCTGAGAAAATGTAGGAAGAAAATAATGTGCATTTTGAATCTTGACGATTTCTCATTACTCAGAGCAAATATGACGTTTCTTGGCTACCAAATAGAACTCATTTATGTTGTCCTGTTCGAGAATTCATTCGATTGATTTGTGTTTAATTCTTCAGCTTGGAGGCGTTTCGAAGCAACGCAGTGGCTAGATAGTGTTAGGGAAAATCGATGTGATTCCCCACAAGTAAATCAATCAATGGGAATAAAAACTAATGCGGAAAAATTAAATCAAAGGCAACACAAGAATTTTTACGTGGTTCCCTCAATGTGAGGTACGTCCACGGGATCGAAATCCGATTCCACTATCAACCAAATAAGTTCCAAACGATTACAAACGAGACACCAATGGTCTCACAAAATCACCCTTAGGTGAATTCTAAATAATCACAAATAAACAAAGAGGAAAGACCTCACCAAATAGATGAACCAAAATCTTCTGAACCAGAGTTAAAGAAGACCCAAAATAACGAACCAAATCAACTTCCACACAAAGAAAACCAAAGCTTGAACAAATCAAGCACTCTTGATTTGTCTTTCCCAATTGTCAAATTCCCAGGCACTATTACCGAGGCAATATATTTCAGGTAGCAGCCGCCGTTCACTTTTGTGTGTTAAAAACAAAATAATATATATATTGGATATATATATTATTAAATCTTGGGTTTTGGAATCAAACCCTAATTGTATCTAAATTGAATTAGATCTCCACAAATATAATATATAAAAAATATATTATACCTAAACCAAGTCAAATTGAAACTCTTTAACAAACCAATTGGGTCCCACACTCCAATAAGGAGGTATACCCAACAGATAGCTTAGTTGGACCACTAGGCATATCAACTCAACCATCAGAGAGAGAGTTCATTTCTTGCTTGGGAAATGGTTTGGTCCTCTGCAATGCCATTAACAAGATCCAACCAGGATCAATCCCAAAGGTAGTCATATTACCGTTGCATATATATTGATAACTTGGTATCCAGCCCACTGGACCAACTAATCCGGTACCAATCCCACCGTTGGGTCCCAATAAAAGAATGGGCAAAAGCCCCGTATGGACTAGCCCCAATAAATTGTTTGCAAAAGTTTTGAACTTTAGGTGTGTGTATACAAAATTACTTAATTAAGGATATGAATTCAAATGGAATCAATTGGAGAAAATGCCCTTTGTACCTATATGTATTTTTGTCTTTGATTTTGGTTAAATTTCAATTTTTCTGATTATTTTTGTTTGGGAATTATTGTAAGGTCGTGGAGAGTAACGCACCCTCACAATTCCTGACATGGGATTCTCAACCATTGCCCGCTTATCAGTACTTTGAAAATGTTCGAAACTTTTTGGTAGCAGTTGAAGAATTGAAGCTACCTACATTTGAAGCATCTGATCTTGAAAGAGTAAATTAAGAACCCTGTTGTTAATTTCTATTTTGCACAAATAGCTTAATGTGTTTGTGCATGTATACAATCCTTAAATTGAGTTTTCTTTCATTTAATATCTTTAGGATAACTTGGAAGTTGGGTCATCGGCGAAGGTGGTTGATTGTATTCTAGCTCTGAGAGGATACCATGACTGGAAGCAATTGAGTGGAGGAAATGGATTCTTTAAGCCCCCGAGATCTCCTTTGGTTATGCATTCTGCAAATAGGGTTCACTCACGAGCTTCGGAAGCAATCTTCTCAGACACTTGCCAACAATTAGACATGTCCAAAGCCTGTGACGACATTCCACTCACCGAGAGTGGAGTTCAAAAACTTGAAGGTTTTAAGGATTTTTCTTTCCTATGTTTCAGTACATATGCATACTTGCATAAGGCATTTGTCACACATATATAGAAAATATTTAAGTATTACTCCAAATGATGATTACTAAATTTAATGGAGTTTGTTATGCATAATCAATTAAGGAAAGGTGGTAAGGAATTGTCTTACATAGCTGAATTCATATTATTCTAAGTACATTAAATATTTGTCTCAGCTGAATTCATATTATTCTAAGTACATTAAATATTTGTCTCAAATAGTGACTTAAATATTTCGGCAAGGATTATAATTAATTCTATGTTTGTTGATTGAAACTCCTAAGTTTGAAACAGTGAACCATAATTTGATGAGTCTTTCTGAGTCTGACACTGGTATAATATTTTTATTTGCTATAGTTTATAAACTAATTTATATGGATAAGTTTTATCATAGGAATAATAGGAAATTATTATTTTACTTAATGAAGTCATATTTGAAGTGTCACTTGCACATGTAGCAGCCTGCAGATATACATATACCGTTCTGGTTTGGATTATTATTATATTTATTTTTAGACTTACTTTTTTTCATCCATTTGATTTGTAGATTTGATTGCCAAGGCCATTGTTGAATGTATGATTGACAGAAAGGAAAACATAGATAATAATCTTATTGCTTCCTTTCGTAGTGGCAATCTGGTAATTGTTAATCCTATTGATACGCAAACTTTCCTTTCATTTCACATTAAACAAATTGAACAATAGCTAGAGCTGAAGTAGTTATTTTACAGGATCCGGGCAAGTTATTCGGCAACATCATGTCTACTTGTTTGGAGGAACAACTCCAAAACAAGTTCCCTGAGGTGAGTAAGCTTAAGTACCTTTGTAGGACATTATGATCATCACTTAGCTTGGTGGTCTCACTTTCTTTCTTGTTTATGTGTCTCTAAAGAATTAATGAGTTACATTAACATCCTTTTGCCCAAATACAGTTGAAATCGATCTTCAAAGATCTCCTTGGAGGAGGTAGCTCACTTGCGCATCCAATATCACCACCACCTCTAGAGCCTCTGGAGAATTTATCTATTAGAAATCCGAAGGTATGTTTTATATTTTAATCATATTAAGTATGTCTTCTATAAGGTAGGTACCATTTTAACTCTAAAATAATGAATTCAAAACCTCGCTATGTTTTTCAAAGTTTGATCTTGTTTAGAGCACTGTCTTTCTTAAAATAATGAGTGCAAGCTTCACTTTATCAATATAACTGAAGTATATCAACATTTAACCTGAGAAAAGGCAGATATAGAGTTTAATGGATTGATGAAATGTAGGGATCTCTTTCTCTCTCTCTATTTATATATCATGCATGCACACACACACACAAACGAACAAATATATTTGTTTTGTTAATAATATCTTTTGTGTCATGAATACATTCTTTCTTACAGTGTTGCAGAGCTTGCTTGAAAAAGGTTGCTTGAAAAAGGGTAGCTGCAACCACTGGTATCTATTTCAAGTGCAAGAAAAAGAACTATCAGTAAGCTTTCTGTGAACCCATCTACGTCATGTGTGTACAACTGATTGAATATTGATTTTGTTAAACAATTAATACACCAGTCCTTTTTTATTCAACTACGGTGTGCGTTTTGTTTCAGTTACCATTCAGTATTTCCTCTGTCTTCTTGTACATGCTAAGTACATGATTCAAAAGTTACATCAAATGAGCAAATTAATCAACTAAATTCTATTTACAAACACCATACAATACTTGAGGAAAAAGGAGAATGCTTGATGATGTCCCTTTTTAATGTTCTTGACTTTACATTGCCAGTTTCATTTATTTTGGTGACACGTGTCCGGGTAAGAATGTCTTCCTGAATTTTCTGTGTTTGTCATGCAGAATCTCAAGGAATTGCTGTCCAGAACAAAAAGGGAATTCAAAGACTTACAATCTCAATTGCAAAGCGATTTGAAACATTTGGGTAAGTCAGCTATTTAAGAAATTTTCAGCAATATCATCCCCAGAAATCAATTAATCAATCTCTATTCTACTATTAAAAAGAAAGGTCAATCAAAAGCTTGTTTTGTGGGATTTGATAAGCATATGCATCCTAGTATGTTTTGCAAGTTCAGAAATGCTAAATAGTTTTAATTTTGCACGAGTTCAGGGAGTCAGGTACAGGAGATGTCTACTGCTGCTCTTGGGTATCACAAGGTTGTGAAAGAGAACAGGAACCTATACAACACGGTTCAAGATTTAAAAGGTTGGTTAATTTCTGAATAACAACCATTTACTGTTTTGATGAAATTATCAGTCTTGCTTATTTTGTTTCTTTAAAAGATTAACTACAAAGCATATAACCAAGTGTGTTTACTCTATCATGGTTGAAAATTTTCTTCAGGGAATATTCGAGTTTATTGCAGAATTAGACCTGCCTTCAGTGCCAAAGCAAGAAATGTAGATTTTATTGGAGAAGATAGGTCATTAGTGGTTCTTGACCCATTGAAACCCCAAAAAGATGGGAGGAAAGTTTTTCAATTCAATCACGTGTTTAGACAAACTGCTACTCAAGGTAATACACAGATTCTTCTGTTTTACAAATTTTGTGAATTATCTTCACTTGGCATAATAATCATTCCTGCCCCCCCCAACACACACACAGATGAGATATTTAAGGACACTCAACCAGTAATTAGGTCTGTAATGGATGGATACAATGTATGCATTTTTGCTTATGGTCAAACTGGATCTGGAAAAACACATACTATGGTAAGGTTCTTTTCTGATTTGGCTTCAGATGCAATTAAATTTTTTTTTTTTTTTCCGCTTTTCCTGCATGATTTACTGTTGATTGTCAATTATATGGTCTCTGTTAATTTATTTTATTTTCAAACCAAGATTTTCTCACTGCGTATGTCTTCCTCTGTGACAGTGTGGATCAACTAGGGACCAGGGAATCAATTATCTAGCTCTCAATGATCTCTTTCGGCTGTCTAATAGAAGGAAGAACATCATGAAATATGTTATTCATGTCCAAATGGTTGAGATATATAACGAGCAAGTACGAGATCTTCTTGCCGAAGATTCTAAAAACACAAAATATCCTTTTGCAGTTGCATTTCTGCCACTTGGCACATAAATTTTCTGCCTCTTGGCAGTTAAATTGCTTTCTTTGTTTGAAAGCTGTACTTTTTGTTCCACTTTAATTATTCATTTGCCAAATTTTTGTATTCTTGACTATCAGCAAATTAGAAATTCGAAGCTGTACTAGTGAAAATGGCTTGAGTATTCCTGATGCTTCCATGCATTATGTGGAATCCACCAATGATGTTCTTAGCCTGATGAAACGAGGTGATCTCAATCGTGTTGTCAGTTCCACTGCCATCAACAACCAAAGTAGTCGTTCCCACAGGTCCAACATTTATTTTATTTTTTTCATCTGTTAAATTTGATGAAAAAGGCAATTTACATTAATTGTTTATTTTGCAGTGTCTTGACAGTACATGTGCACGGTAAAGATGTATCTGGAAGTATTCTTCGCAGTTGCCTCCATTTGGTGGACCTTGCAGGAAGTGCACGGGTTGAAAAGTCAGAAGTTAACGGTGATGGCCTCAAGGAGGCACAATACATAAATAAATCTCTTTCTTGTTTGGGAGATGTGATCTCGGCCTTGGCTCAGAAGAGTTCTCACATTCTGTACCGAAACAGCAAGCTTACGCTACTCTTGCAGAACGCATTAGGTTGTAATATCCAATATAAATGTACCTGTCTTTTAAAACTCTTCATTTAATTAACTTATTATTGCAAATTTTTGCCAAAATCACCTATTCTAAATGTGAAGGGTCACTTCTTATTGTGGAATGGTAGGCCTTCTCTGTATGAAATTCATGCATGTTTACTGACAGTTTTAATGCCGTACAGGAGGACACGCAAAAACATTGATGTTCGCTCATGTGAGTCCTACAGCAGATTCTTTAGGGGAGACAATCAGTACTTTGAAGTTTGCTCAGAGGGTCTTGACAGTTGAACTTGGTGTATCTCATATGAACAAAGGGAGCAGTGAGGTTATGGAACTCAAGCAACAAATAAATGCATCTTCTTACATCACTATTGCATGGCATGTTCACACGTTGCATATCTTAACAGCTTAAGCTTTTGGGACTATGATAATCTAACATTGCATCAAAGCTTAGGTGGGGGAGGTTTTGGGTTATAGTTTCTCCGTTAGCATTATTTTTTCTTTGTATGTATGAATATTTGCATCTCCATGTGTAAGACGGGATTGCACATGAGGGAAGGTGATGGAGAGCTTGATTGATATACATTATTGAGCCCATTTTTTAAAATCTCAAGATTTTTGGGACTAGTGGTGGTCTAATATGAACTGTTTACACGTTGTAGATTGAAAGCCTCAAGAAGGCATTGGCTAACAATGAAGCAGAGACTGTTCGACCTACTAAACCAAAGGAGCCAAGATCACCACTTGAGAAACCACCGCATGCAATGACTGAACGTACTTCTCCACGCTCCCAAAGGTTGAGCATTGAAAATCTCGATGCTAAGAATTGCAGGAATCAACAAAAAAAAGTTGAAGCATCCCCAGTAAATGGCATGCGCTAGATTCATGATGCAAGGTCACCAGTTTCGTCTAATGCATTCCCACTGACAGGTGTCGTTCAAACATCAGACAGGAGATCTTCTCTTGGATGTAAATCAACGAACTCTTGTAAGTTAAACTAGCAGAACCCTCATTTGCAGACCTTTTTGCTTTGTGGTCTACAACGGGGTATATGATGATTCCATATTATCAATTGCTTATATTTGTGTGAAGGTACAAATGAAACTAGAAATTCGAAGACACCGCCTCCAGTCCACATATCAGCCAAGGCAACGAATCAGTAGATATAGATCATCTATACTATATATTAAGTAAAATGGAGTTTTTAACTCATAGGCCTTGTGAGAGTTTCAATATCCTAATCTTAATTTTCTAATTTTTTGATTTAACAAAAAAAAAAAAAAAAACCTCAACATTTATTGTTTCTCCCAATCCAATCTCAACATTTATTAACTTCTCTCAACTCACAATCTCTTTTGACTTCTATCATAATTACTGCAGCACATTTTTCAATTTCTCTTATACACTATGGTTACACACAAAAATAAAGAAGATAAGAATTTGGCTATAGATCTCAAAAAAATATAACATATAAATTTGAATTATGATTTAGTAATATAATTATGTATTTTTTTTTATATATATCTATCAAAATTTTAAATTACTTAATAGGACAAATTAATCAATTTTCTAAAATTATTAATTTTTTAATTTACAAAATAGATTAAAAAAAATATTAACTGATTTATTTATTTAATAACAAAAAATATTTCATAATCTCTCTCTCCCTCCTAATCTCTCTCACCAATTTCAAAAAAATAATAATTAAAACTTGTATTCGTTTTCTCTTCCCAAAAAATCAGATAATACTTTTTATTAAAATTGTAGATATCTATCTATATCTTATATATTAACTTATTTAAAATTTATAAATGCTGAGTTTTTTTTTTTTTAATAAAAAATTTAGAAAATTCATATTGGGATATTAAAGCTCCCACAGGCCTTGGGCTATATATTAAGTAAAAGGGGATTTTTAACTCCTAAGGCCTGTGGGAACTCCAATATTTCAATCTGAATTTTTTAAATTTTTTATTTAAAAAAAAAAATCTTAACATTAATTGATTTGGTCAAACTCCCTTGATTAACATTTATTAACTTTTTTCAATCTATATGTCTTTCCACATGCTTTCATTTATTGATTTGGTCAAAATCACCTGATTAGCATTTAAAATCTCCTCAAACAAATAATTATATATACAATCCGTGCATAGTTACTGCAGTACCCTTTTCAACTTCTCCCATACACTATGGTTAGTGATAAGATTGTTAAATTATTTTTATAAAAAATCTTAAAAAACATAATTCATATTTTAAAAAAAATCTAAAACAAATATAAATATTTATAATTATCCCGTGCATAGCACGGGTTATATATTAAGCAAAAGGGGGATTTTAACCCCAAGTCTTGTGGGAGTTTCAATATCCCAATCTGAATTTTTTAAATTTCTTATTAAAAAAAAAAAACTCGATATTTATTGATTTGGTCAAAATCATCTAATCAGCATTTATTAACTTTTTTCAATCCACATGTCTTTCTACATGCTTGCATTTATTGATTTGGTCAAAATTTTCTGATTAGCATTTAAAATTCCTTCATACATATAATTATAGATACAATCCGTGTATAGTTACTACAGTACTCTTTTTATTCTCCTATACATTATGGTTAGTGATAAGATTGTTAAATTATTTATATAAAAAATCTTAAAAAACATAATTTTTATATTAAAAAAAATCTAAAACAAATATAAAATATCTATAATTATCCCGTGCATAGCACGGGTGATAGACTAGTTTAGCAATAAACAAAAGAGGATAATAGTGGTGTGGTGTTTCGGCTCGAAGCATACTCAATGCTGAGATTTGATTTAGGACACATTTTTTAATTTAGAGTAGCCATGACTTCTGTTTAAGGTAAGGTATGTGTACAACAAACCATTTGTTGACATTTTGCCAGATTAATAATTCATTCATATGATTTCAGCTTCTTCTTTTTCTTTTTTCCATTTTTTTTTTTTTCCCCCTGGGGCCAAGGTTGAGCTGCATTTGGCACCTTATTGAAGTTCATATTGCCTTTTGGAATGACACATTTCAATTCTTGCCAACAAAATTTGTATATAGTGATTTTCAAAAATTAATTACACACTCACTTTTAAAAACTCGGTCTAAAGCAGAAAAATTTGAGCTAACCGGTCGTCTCACCAATCGTCCAGCTGGTTGACCAGAACAGTGCAATATATATATATATATATATATTGCAATTGACACATGTTAATTTTTTTATATTTAATAAAAAATATTTTCTGAATTTTTTAAAATTTTTTATGAGTTTTAATAGAATTTTGAGTTGTGTGTTTTGGTTATGAGTTGTAAGTTTTTGTATCAAATATTATATGTCACATCAAAATTTTTTCACTCAATTCAAAATTCTTTTCAAAACTCATTCACCAAACAAATTTTTCATACTCAAATCATAATTTTAAAACTCACAAACTCAAAACACAACTCTATTCTCAAATCATATTTAGAAAATTCTACCAAACATAACTTTTTATTCTCTCCTCACTTTCTTCTCGTTGGTTCTTAAAGTGAGGAGAGAAAAAAAGATGTTGAAATGAAATGGAAAAAAAAAAAAAAATTCTCTCCTCTCCTTTCATTTAACTAAAGAATAAATGATTTTCCTTTCCAAAAATACTTAACCATCATCTAGAAATGAGGTAAAAATTATGCAAAGAAACCTTCACTTGAAAATTTTTCAGGTGGTTTGTTCAAAAAATACACTTTGTAGGGGCAATGTGGAAGGGGTGAGGATTTGGGTTCTGGTCTATTTTTCCCCCCCTAATTCAGCAAATTTCATATCTTTGTATATATTTTTCTAATTTTCATGTCCTTTTACAACTATTTTTTATACCCCTTGTAAATTTATTTCTTTTTTTCCAATATTCCCCCCCACAAAACACATATCAAAATCCAAACCAAGAGCAATTCACATTGGCCTTTTTTGAGTTAAAATTTAAAGACAAAAAAAAGAGTGAACATGAAACAATGGTTAGGATTTGGCTCCACACTTAATTTCATGCAAGATTATAAAATCAAACTCAAAATAATTAACTTTCATAAACATGAGTCTAGCTTAATTTTCTTTATCTTCTTCCTAATTCCTTTTAATCACATGATTTTGATTTCAATTTCATTTTTAATTTCAAGTGTAATATGAAGATTCTACACAAATTGAACATAAATTCTATACCTTAAGTTTTAATTTAAGAAATATTAGTTGAATCTCTTCCAACTCTTCTTGTTCTTCCTTCAAAACCTGGAGCTCTCATTTCAATCTCTCTTCTTCTCTTTTGTTTTCTTTGTTCCATCAACTCTCTCTCTCTCTCTCTTTATTACGCGGGGTTTTCTTCTCCCTGTTCCGTGCTTCTTCAGCAATGAGAAATGGGTTCACTTCTCCCTTTTTGAAAATAGTATAATATACACATGCACACCTCTCTTGTTGAAAACACAGCACACTAGCACCTTTTCTCAATCTCCAACGCAGCACTCACACACATATACAACTAGATTTCTCAGTACCCCCACATAGATTTCTCAGCACACCCACACCTACATACATCCATAATTCTAGACAATTCCACAATTCAATTTATGATTAGGACTAAGGGGTTGTAATTTTGATGATCTAAATAAATGTATTTTTTGATTTTTTATAAAATATGGGTTGGGTTTGAAGTGATGTGACTTAAATAAGATAATGCGACTTAAATAGGATAGCAACTTTTTGACTTTTTTATAAGTTGCCAAACCTGGCCTTAATTAAGCAATACTTAATCTTAATAACTCTTGATTAACACATAATTAAATTAATCATAGCTAATCACCAGTCCCACATAATTTAATTAGTTTAATTGACTTCCATTAAACCTAATTAATTATATTCAAATCTATCAATCTGAATTAAATTTTTAATCAAACTTCCAAAAGACTCCAAATATCAAATTAAACTTATTTCCATCATCAATTTTGACTTCTCACATTATTAAGGCCTTCAATTTCAGATTAACTCAAGATTTCCGTCAATAAATTACATATTCAATTGAACACCTCATAAATAATTTAATTCATAATAATCTTACTTCCCAATCCTCGTAACTTAATTAGCTCTAATTTGGACCCAATTAACCAATCTCAATTTTATAAATCTGAATCGAATATTTAATTAAACTCTCATATGGTCCGATACTCAAAATTAAAATAATTCAATTCACCAATTATACTCTCTTGAGCAATTTAGGCTTTCAATTTCTAATTCCAAAATAAATCCTCCATATAGTCATATACGAACCAGTCTCCATAATTTTCATAAATTCCAAATTAAATTAAAATAATTGACAATTAAAATTCAAATCTTGTTAATTAATTAAGTATTAATCATTATACGTGGTGAGGTCGTCACAATCAATGTAAACATTAATAAGCGTTTCGCTTTATTATTATTAGGGCTTTTTGGAAACTATATCACGTATAAAATTTATTAAAATATAAAAAAATAATTTAGATTAAATGAAATATAAGTAAGTGAAAAAAAATTTATATAAACGCTCTTAAAAAAAATAATAATTAAAAAAAATAAAAAAAGCTAGAATTGAAAGGTAAGGAGGAAATATAGGATTTGGAGATGCTGCTGCACGACGAAATGAGCCCATTTCAAGATCCATTTTGATAATCTGAATTGTCTACATTTTAGAATACATTAAGTAGAACATGCTTGTAAAAAATCAAGTTAATCGGATATCGTTTACCTATACATCCACTCACATTTGTATTCATTTTAATATTTCAAATTACAATTATTATTTATTTTTGTAGATACAGATGTGATTGGTTGAATGGATAAAAGATATCCGATTAACTTAATTTTTTACAAATCTCTTCTACTTGATATATTCTAAAATATAAACAATTTAAATTATCAAAATAAGTCCCGAACTGGGCTCATTTTGCCGCACAACATCCCCTAGCGTCCCCACTTCCGGAAAAATAGGGTTGTATGGAAAGTATGATTTAACTTCTTTTTTTTTCCTCTATAAACTCAAATTGCAAACATAATCTTATTATGCCTCGGGCGTTGGGTTATGAATCTACCCAATAGCATATATTAATTGTGAATTGCGTAAAACTTAAAAATGCTAGACTAGTAGAGGGAATATCTAAAGAAAGCTGTCCAAGTACATAGGAAAACTTGAGAAAATGAAGAACATAGCTAGGCTGAGAGCTCCATGCATGAGAGAGCTCTCTTTGTTGGAAATTAAAACCAAAAACAAAAAACAAAATACCTGCTCTTCAAGAAGAGCACCAGCAATCCGGCCATCCTTATTATATCTATGCTTCTCTGGTTCAGTTTCCATACTCTTGAGCGTGTCAGCCATCAATCCCCCCCCAAAAGAAAAAGAAGAAGAAAAAGAAATCAAAACTTGAGAGAAGCTCCAAAATAGTAGTAGTAGATCCATTCACATTCACTTCATTCCAGTAGCATCTTTCACTGCATCACAAGCCCCTTGTGCCTTAGCCTTCATTTGCTGCCCAGTCTACACACATTTCCATATAAGACTCATCCAAACAAAATTCGATTAATCAGACCGCATAGTTATCTCAAGTGTATGGATGATTTTTTTCTTTTTTTTTCTTTTTATAGGAAACAACTTTTACAGACTGATGTGGCGCAAAAAAAAAAAAAAACATTGGACACATTTTTTGTGATTTAAAAGAAATGCATTCAATGACTACCGCATCAGTTTGTAAAAATTAAAAACTTAAGTTTTGTTAATTTGTATAGCGATGTTATTATTATTATTATTATTATAACCATAATTTTGTACCTCTTGCATTGAATCTTTACAAGCCTGAGCAGCATTGCTTGCTTTGTCCATCATTTGGCTACCCTTCTCCTGAAATAAGCGTGTAAGAACACATTATCATCCCCACCATTATCAACCTTATGTTCATATGGTCATGCTATCACCATTGCAAAAAGAAACATCGAATCCATTGTAGGCCTCATATAGAAAATAATATAGCTTGTAAGGCCATGTTTGTTTGGAGAACATGACGTTAAGAGATTGGACTCATAATCTAACAAAATACGTAATCTCAAGAGTGAGAAATTGAAAATCGAACCAGTAGTTTATCCAGACATAGTGATTATTGAATCTCAAATGGGAGTGGTATCCAAAATGGGAGACTTAGGAGAGTTTCGGTAAAAATAAAAAAATATAAAAAATTGATAAGATTTAATCCTTCCTCATATAATCTTTGGCCAATCCCAATATGGGATATGATGATACACATAATCCACATGGATTAATAATCCCAAGATTAAAGTCTTAAAAATGTTAATCTCATCTAATACAGTCTGCCTTTTGATGTGTGTGTGTGTGTGTGTGACAGAGAGAGAGAGAGAGGGTTCACCTGAGCTTGGCCCTTGGCTTGGCCAGCTTGGTATGCAGCGTTCTGGTTTTGGTTCATCTTGCTTTCTTACTTTGAACAATAATAAGATATGCTTGTGTGTTTGTGTGGGAATTCAAATTGAGGCTAAGAAAACTCAAAGAAAGTGTTCAATACAGGTCTCATTAATCACTCCACAAACTAGTACTAGTACTAGCATTTATATATATAATATTTTGAACTCAACAGCCCCCCATTGCTTGACATTTGTAAAAATGAAATGTGGAATCATGTGTCCTCAACAAATGTCACTCTGTGCTTGAAAATTGAGAGCCTATTTGGCCATCTGACCAGCCCTGTTTACCGGGTTAAAACTATTTTAAGAATTTATCTTACACTTCGTTCGTATTTTTTTTTTGAAAAATGCTTGGGAGCACTAATTAGTGCTCCCACTAATTAGGTGGCAGTGTGTCCCGCCATTAATGATGTGATGTTTTGGTCTTGGAGTTGTGTTTTTTTTTTTTTTTTTTACTTTTTTAATACATTAGTGCTATTAGTGGTGATATTTTTAGTGGGATGAATCATTGTTGTTTTTTTTTTAAACAAAGATAGCAAAGAATTATATTAGATAGAGAATCACAAAGAACAATAAACATCCTCAGTATCATCAATTTTTTCCTAATTCGATGATCAACAGTGACCGCACCATTCGACATCCCTATTACTCATTGCGATGGATTGGTATTTAATGTCATCAATTATCATCCTAATTCGATGATCAACTGTGACCGAGGGGGGGCTGGCAGGGGCGGCCGCCACCCCAAAGTTTTGAAAAAAATTCCTAGATATCGTAATAAAATTACAAATATTTTTAAATTATATAGGTTCGCCATCCTAAGTTTTTGCAAAAAATTTAAGAACCGCCACCCCCTAAATTTTGTACTTTAAAATTTAAAATTTTATTTATTTTTTTGATAAACACTAAAAATAATTTATTTTTTTAAGTATGATTACTTTTTTATTTTAAATTTAGTAATGTTAAAATAATTGAGAATTTATTTGTTAATATGTTAAAGTCTTTTACTCATCGACTTCAATTAGCATTGGTACCGACAGCAAGAAAAGTTATACCCGTTGCCCAATTTTTTTCTTATCTGGTTCTCACGGTTAATCTATGTGGCTCTTCTTGTAAAAGGCATGATCTGTTGAAAATTGCTCAAGCTGAAGAAATTGCAACAAAACTTGCCATTGATGAAGTTGAAATTGGTAAAGGCAAAAATCAAGTTGGGACATTGAAACGAGCTAGAGATACTCAATGGGGTTCTCACTTGAGATCTATTTCCAGTTTGATAAATATGTTTAGTGCAACTTGTTCAGTCTTAAGTAATGCCATCAATGATGAAGCCACCTCTACTCAACGTGCAGATGCAGATGGAATTTATGATAAGATTACATCTTTTGAGTTCGTGTTTATCTTACATCTTATGAGAGATATTATAGGGATTACTGATGATCTTTGCCAAGCTTTGCAATGTAAATCCCAAAATATATTGAATGCAATGCATCTAGTGTCAACTACAAAAGCACTTGTTCAAAAATATAAAGAAGATGGATAGATTCCTTTGTTGGAGAATGTTCAATTATTTTGTAGAAAATATGACATAGATATTCTTGATATGAGCGCTCATTACACATCTAGTAGAGGTCGTGCTTGTCACCAAAGAGATCACATTATTATTGAGCATCATTTTCGAGTTGATATTTTTACAATTATATGTGATTCTCAATTGCAAGAATTGAACAACAGATTCAAAGAAGATGTGATGGAGTTACTTATTCTTAGCTCTACTTTAGATCATAGGAATGATTACAGTTCGTTCAAAATTGAAGATATATGCAAACTTGCAAATCAATTTTATATCCTAATGACTTGACAAAGTAAGAAAAAAAAATACATTTGAAATTCCAATTGCAAAACTACGAGATTGACATCGTTAAACATCCTAAGTTTCAGCAGTTGTTGACAATTTCTGACTTGTGCCAAATGTTGGTAAAAACAAGGAAGTCAATAATTTATATAACAATCCAGATTTTTAATTATTCTGTAGAATTTATACTAATATTATTTAATCACAGTTAGAAAAATATATAATTTATTAATATTATTATGTGTAAGGAAAATATATAACTTATTATATATTATTATGTGTAATTTTGTAAAATAATATAATTATTAAAAGTTTAAGAGTCAAAATAATAATAATAATAATAATGTATGTGATAGTGAAATAAATAATTAATTTTATGTTAGTATACGATAGAGTGTAATTTAATTAAGAAGTAATTAATTTATATAATTATATTATAATATTAAGTCAAAATGTAATTGTGGGGATGTATTTTCTGAATACCAACACGTGGCATGGTGACGCCGACGTGTCAGCCGAGGTGCCACGTGTCCTGGTAGTTAAGCCGAGATGATCTCGGAGTTTCCGAGGTTATCCCCGAAGATATCGGAATCCGAGATAAGCAGATAAGGGACAAGAGTCCTAAGGCAAAGAGGGGACTTAACCAAGATAAGGATAAAGCTCTTAGGGAGTTTATCTTTATCTCTTAAAGAGTCCAAAGTAAGCACTGAATTAGAGTTCATAGAAGTCATACTTCTAGTGGGACTTGGATTGAGTATATTATAAAAGGGAGGCACCCCCGTGGGTCTAAGGGATACAATTTATGTTTTGAGTATTAAGTTTTGCACTTGATTATCTTTGAGAGATATACTGACTTGATCGTCGGAGTGCCCCCAGGTGGAAGAACCACCGCCGGAGCCTTTTCTTTCTGTTACAGGTTGCTGAAGCCATCTATTCTGCCTGTGCTCTCCAGTTGATCACTAAGCAGGCAGTGTGGTCAGATTTTCACCCAAGAGAGAGAGAGAGAGAGAGAGAGAGAGAGAGAATCTGCCATTACCTTGAAGTGGAGGAAGGGAGAGAAGCAAGCAAAGGAGATAAAAAGAGA